TTTTGATTTTACACACAATAACCTTCTTTTATTTTGCATGTAGATTCCCCTTCCAACATTTTCTGAAGTGGTCTCAAAAACTTATTTAGGATATTGGTTTTCCTGGATCCTGTCCAAGCTTTTCCTTCTGCATTTAAGCCTTATATGAACAGAGGATTTAAACTGAAGTAGAGAGCAGACTTTCTTCTTGTTGGCTTTTTAGAGGAGGTGCTCTGGAAATGTGGGGAGAATTTGGAAGATGCTACACAGTGAAGTCTGGGATATACATTTTTGGTACCCAGTAAACTAATGTTCAGAGAATAAGGCCTTAGTAGAGCCATATATGTGAGATATTTGGAATCATCCAAGCCTGTAAGCAAAGGTTAGATCCTGGTTTTTGTTTCTTGGATGTCTGCTTTATGTCTTAAAACAACAGGCAAAATTTCTTGGCTCTGTGAATATGCATTCTGTTCTTAGATTAGAGAGAAGCTTTACTCATGTGGTTTGGAAAGGCTTCCTTTCCTAGTTGTTTTCAGTGTGTGTGAAGCACAACATTTTGAAGGTCAGAGAAGTCACGACACATTATAGGTAAGCTCATCAGCTTCTTACTTCACAGTGAGTTCTGAAAGGCATGATGCATGCAGTCCAGTAAGTGATGGTCATGATGTTCTGGTTCAGAACATTTGGGTTTCCCTACAGGTGTAATCGGTATGGAGTGAGTCATTAGTCATTGCATTTTCTGGAAGAGTCAGAAGAGAAAAGGTTTAAGTGAAATGGAATACAGTGTTATAATTCACTTTTGTCACTCACAGGAGAGGATGATGGTTTGCATCAGGCTTGTTTACTGAAAAAGCTTATTATAGCCTGCTTCTTATGCTAAGTACTGGCTAAAAAAGAATAGAATGTGCCAGGTGTGATGGCTTACACCTGTAATCCCATTACTTTGAGAGGCTGAGGCAGGTGGGTCACAAGGTCAGTAGTTTGAGACCAGCCTGGTCAAGATAGTGAAACCCTGTCTCTACTAAAAACATAACCATTAGCCGGGCGTGGTGTCAGGCGCCTGTAGTCCTAGTTACTCAGGAGGCTGAGGCAGGAGAATCTCTTGAACCTGGGAGGCAGAGGTGGCAGTGAGCCATGATTGCGCCACTGCACTCCAGGCTGGAGGACAGAGCGAGACTCTGTCTCAAAAAAAAAAAAAAAAGAATAAAAATGCACAACTTTTCCAATCTTGATTTAGATTATTTATACTAGGAATGTGTGAGGATGCTTTGAGCAAACATGTCCTTTTATATGATTAAGAAAAATCTAATGTTGTAGGATATAGAGATAGTGGTAGTAAAAGGTAATGGTATAGAGCTATGTAGCTAAGGAAAGAGAATGTGATGGAGAAATCCTGGGTACTACGGGTGACTGATCCAAAAAGAAAGTAGTGGAAATCTTATCCAAGTGACCAGGAGCCACACTTCACTGGGCTGCTTAAAGGCAAAAATACATTTAGCTCACCACTGATTTGCAGTATGGGGGTGGAGGGGAGCAGTTTAAAAGATGTTGAAGATTCCCATGCAAAAGAAGGAAAGCCAACTTCCCAAGTGGTGATGGTCCAAAGGCAGAAACCTGACACAGACACAACAGTACAAACACTATACTATTTGCTAATGTTGTGAAGCCATCTGCAATTCAAACTCCCAGTATGTATACTAGACATATTCCTCTTGTTTGAATACAAAAGCCCACTTCCTCAGAGGCTAGAGTTCTTTAAATTGAATGTTAATTCAAGGTTCAAGGATTGACCCTTCAACAAAGGCGGATGGATGTGTTAGCCACCAGGAAAACCAATTTGGGGAAGGGTTAGTTTGACTTTTAGCTAGTATTTATCATTTCTTACCAAAACTTGTTTTCACATCTGAAGGACCAACAGGATAAAAGTTGATACATTAGGGACTTGAAGTTCAGAGTATTATTAAATCATTTCCAACAAATATATATAAACAGCCTCTTTGGGGCAGGTCAGGGCTTAGCTCAAGTCACCTTCAGTTGCTGTGCCTCAGGGAGGATGCTGGTTAGACCTCCTACTCTAAGATTTCCGTTGTTTTTCTAATTTTTCTAGCTGAATATGATTCCAGCTAATGTAACAATCCTCATAGCCTGGAAAGAAACTTTGCCAGCCTGGGAAATCTACTTTGCTGGCCTGGGAAGTCTTCTGGTGAGCACTGAGGGGAGGGAGTGGGAGCATTGGAAAGAAGACTTGAAATTCCTTTGTGTTATCTGTAAACAGAAAGTTCTAATTCTTTGGTCTCTTCTTCCTCCTCTCCCCCAATCCTCTCTTTCATCATTTTCAATTATATATAGGAGGTTGGAAGGTTTCTCTTGTACTGTTAACCCTAAATACCTAAATACCCTTCGCGAGGGAAACTGGGTAAGAACAGTAAAACCGGAAGGCTGTTGTACCCTGGTCTTGCTCTTCCCCAATTCTCCTCTAGCTCCTCCTCCCTTTCTCTCTCTCCTCTCATAAAAGTGCTTTAGTTGAGGGCCCCTAGGATTCACCCTCCAGCTCCTACCTGCACTTCAAGCCAGACTGGGGTCTCCACTTGCAATTAGCATGTCTGTCGGACTGGGCCACAGTATCCCACCTGGCCACTGCCCCATGCCTCCTCAGTGCATGTTGGGGCTGCTAGTCTCTCTAGCCTGGGGTTTTGGGCTGACAAGTCCCCTCTTCCTCGCTGGCCCCCGAAAGTCCCTCCAGGATGCTGTGCTAATGCTTGACTGGAGCCTTCCAAGATTAGAATCAGAGGGGCGTTTGGGGGTAGTTTTGGTCTTTGAAACATCAGTCATCCCATATTCCCTCCAACCAATAGAAAGCAGAAGGGGCCTATACTCTCATTTAGCAGCTTCGAGTTCCTCCTATCTATTGGCCTTTTCCCTTGGCCCAGGGGCCCAAGGCCAGATTTTCATGAATAGGAAAGCTCCCCTGGGAGAGATGTCAAACATGCCCAACTAGATGATGGCCACGAGCAACAAAAGATCTGCGGGTGATCCTGTGGGAGTTTGATTCCCCCAGGCAGTGTGGGCAGGGCTGGGTGGGTCTTTAGATTGTGTTGAGCAATTGCTGGGTCTCGAAACTTGATTTTCAGGAGTTCAGTGACCAAGAATTTCAAGTTCTCTGTTTAGTCTTTCACTCTGGTGAATGGGTTCAGGTCTGAAGGCCTGTAATTTTTGGGTGCTGAGCCCTGAGTTTTGAGCTGAGGGTATCTAAGCTGAGAAGAGCGCAGGGGTCATAGCCTTGGTAAGTCAGAGGCACAGTTCAGCCCCTGTTGGCCCTTGGAGCCAGCAGTTAGTCGTCCCCCCCAGATGGTTAATCGTGTTTGTGGTTTTCCCCCTTTAATAGGCCGTGAAGTCAGCAAACTCCCCACATGGTGGCTCCCTTTACTAAAGTTGAGTAGTGAATTGTACAAGGAGTCTTGGAAATTTTCAAATATTTCTTCAGATTGAACTCATTTCGGAATTCGTGTGGGAGGAAAGAGTAAGGTTTTTAATGGGGTTCACCTTTGACGTGAAGCAAGGCGGAAGACAGGAAAGCCACAGTGGGGAATAGCTTTGGGCACTTTAGTAAGAAAGACGTCTCTGCTTGATTATCTGGTAGTGTTCACCGCAGGCTCTTTGTGTGCGAGCTTGCTGCAGAGGCAGAGCTGAACACGGAACACAGGCATGTAAACACTCCGACATAAATCAGTGAGCATATGTATCAGAGTAAAAGAGACATATTCCCATGTAGATGTGGTTTGAAGCTTTATTGAAGGCAGACAATCTGAAGCACGGCCAGGAATAAACTAAGAAGAAGCAGACAGTTTTTGGTCATTCATGGCCAGGAATAAGCAAAACTTAGTTTTTTTAAGAAGGAGGAAGTATTAAATCTCAAGTAAGAGCGGGAACAGCATTTAGAAGGAGAAACATAATATCTTGGAAAAAGCATGCAGAACTAATATAGCTTATTTAAATGTTGGATCCGAATCATAGTAACAGGAAACCCTCTCACTAAACTGGAATTTCCCCTAATTTTTGTGTAAGATCCAAATAATTAAAATGCACTCTAATGGTTACTGATGGATCCTTCCTTCCTTCCTTCCTTCCTTCCTTCCTTCCTTCCTTCCTTCCTTCCTTTCTTTCTTTCTTTCAAGAAATAGGCCCAATTTCTCTTACTGGTGTAGAAATATATGACCCTTCTTAAATTACGCAGGAAATTGGAAGCCTCTGGGTGGATATGGTCTTCCCTTATTGCTTTCCTCTTACCACATCATTTTCAGTTAAAAAAAATTTAACTGTTTCCAGCAGAGGGATTCCTGTTAGAAACCTTCATCAAGTGAACTTGTACTGGGAACCCTCATGCTTTCCCAGTCCATCTGTGTTTCCCAAACAGAGCTCAAGTTGTAAACAAAGTGGAAAAACATATTTCTCACCCCAAAATTCTTAACATTTCATTTCTTGTGGAAAACACAATTTCACAACATCAATTTTTAAAATCTGTAAGAGCCACAGAAGGTGTGAAGGTAGCCAAACGGCCAGTCTAGAGATCCAAAAGCCAGGACTAACGGAGGACAGAATGCTTTTTCCTCAAATCCAGGCAGGGATGGAGAGCATTCTCAGCATTAGGGCATTTGTGGACACTACAAAGGGGAAAGATGTATCTGAACGATGGGGGTGATTTAGGCAATGAATCGCCACGTTAATAGCACTACTGCCAACTCTTCAAATTTAGAGGCTCTGGTGAAAAATTAAACCAGTGGCAATTTTCAACGTTTGTAGCATCTGTGACCGAACACTTCAGCACCCGGAGTCTGGACAGCTCCGCAGGCCGCGCTCCGGAGGCAGCTTGAGCTCTCATCAATCTACTCCTAGCCCGACTGTCAACGGCAGCCAGACTCAAGAGAGATTTACTGAAAATCCTCCAAGACTTCCCTTTAAAAGCAAAACGACTTCCACATTTAATGGTCTATCTGAAAGAACATACGCAAGAAATTAGGAGATCTAAATTAAATTTATTAATAGGAGAGCTTGATGATGCTTAACTCCAGAGACCAGAGCTCTGATTGGTGGGGCTTGATGAAAAAGTAAAGAGAAATCGTAATTATATAGTTAAAAACATAACTTTTGCCATCCTCAAAATTCTAAAAATTCTTTACCTGTCCTTGAGAAATGGGTGAAATTGAAAACCATCAAAAATAATTGGACTTCTTAAAAATTGGATTGTATGAGTGAAAGGTGTTTATGAGAAGTCGATGACTCCGGATCTTATCATCCAAGAGGACAGCACAGAATAGTTAATATGTTCCTTGAGGGACTAGGATGCTGACGTCTTTTTCTGATACCCGATCATTACGTGACTGAAAAAAAAAAAAAAGGAAGTCATTTCATGAATAAAAATCGGAGCGCAACAGTGAAACAAAATATTCTGTTCTTAAAGGCAACAGGCAGACAGATGTTGACAAAGAGGGCTCTCCAAAAACCATGTTCGGATAGATTTTTGCTGACTGCACAGATAAATACGAGCAGAAGGCCGGTCACCTCTGTAACCACCGGCAGCAGCTGAAGAAGCCACAGCTTCAGAGGCAGCCAGAGAGACCTTGGAGCAGAGAAGGCGCTGTCGACCCTCACAGCTGCCTGACCAGCGGCTCCTACAAAGGCCGGCTGGCGACCGGCCCTCTCCCTTTCCTTCCTCCCCTTCTTCTCTGACTTTCCCTCTTTTCCTTAATCGCTTGCTTATTCCTCCGGGTGGACTTACGGCCACTTTGCTCCTCCACGCTTTACCTCCTCGCCCCCTCTTTCTTTCTTCTGTCTCTCTTCGCCCCCTTCTCTCCGTGTCACGCTCCCTCCTAGTTCTGCTCGTCTACAAACTTTTGAACAGAACACGAGCCTCGGCAAACAAGTCCTGCAGCTCCTCCTGCTGCTCCTGCTCGTTCCTGCGGCTTCTGCTCAGACACCAACGCCAGACGGTGATGCCTCTTGGGTTGTGACTCCAGCGCAGAAACTTGAAGAAGCCCTTTGCCCGCCGTCCTACTTGGCAGCACACCCTCTCCTGACAGCGGTAAGAGTTGAAGGGCAAGGGAAAGAAAACCTTACCAAACCCACCGACTCACTCGACTGCTGATTCTTTCGCTGGCATCGCGTCAGGATAGTTAGCTTTCCTTCAACCAGGTCTGGCTAGTTATTGGGCGCTGGGTATATGCATATATTTATATATTTCTAACTATAGCAAGCAAGAAGTGGCAGGGCGCGCGCCGGCTGTCGCTAAGTGGTGTTCAATACAGGGAGCCGGGGCTTCGCTCCGTCCCTCCCCCAGCTTCGAGAGTTTTTTGGGGTTGGAGGGTGGAAGGCCAGGGACGTTCTCACAGCTGTGTGCCCTCTTTCCCATCCTGCGCAGAATGACCATGTGTAGCGGAGCGAGGCTGGCCCTGCTGGTCTACGGGATAATCATGCACAGCAGCGTCTACTGCTCACCTGCCGCCGCCGGACTCCGGTTCCCCGGGATCAGGTAGGTGCTGGCTGCCCGGGCCGAGCAGGAGCTGGGGCTTCCCAGTCACAGACACTTCCTCACAGTCTCCTTCCTGCAGTCCTCTGGGTCCAGACTACTAGCATCGCCCTCTGCGCCCCCAGTGCGCCTCCGCCAGCCTTGGCTGGACAGCGGGTCCCCATTCTAGCCGGAGGGTCTGGCAGGCTCCGCGACGGCTCGGAACCCTCCCCCAGCCCTAGGCAGCTCAGGGTCTCGAGTAGAGTCAGTGAGCTTCTGGCCGCTGGAGAACCCGCCTCTCCCAACCTGGCCAGCAGGATGGGGGCAGGGCATGGCCCCTAGGTTGGTTTCTTTTACCTATTCTTAGGATGAGTTAGGAGAACTTCAGCTCTGGAGCCTGGCCGGGGGTTGAGCGTGAAGCTCCTTCGGACTTTGCTTTGTTACCGCTTGTTCTGGACTATCCGGGTGGGGCCTCTCTCTCCTTTCCACCCTTTCTCTTCATTTCATTCCAGTTCTTTCCCCTGAAGAGCTTTCTTTCAAGTGATCCGTGTTCCAACTGCATTTTGAATCCCAGGCTGTCTTGGGGGGCGTGGGGTGGGGGAGGGTGTTGGCCCGGTGTGATTGAGGAAAAGCGACTTAAGAGAGGGAAGAACAAGAACGAGACTGCGAAGGAGGGGGAAAAACAGACGCAAGGGAGGAGGAAGGGAAAGCCAGCAGGCAGGCAGGAGCGGGAGAGCAGCCCTGCCCGGCCCAGGATGGAGGAACCTTGGCTTTTTTCTTAACCCCGGGTTTCTAATCGGCAGGCGCTGCCCAGGTTCCCGGAGGCAGCCCCAGGGAGTCGCGGGCCGATGTGCCGGACTGTGGAAGAGCCCTGGGCAGGGGAGGGTCCGCACCCGCGGCGCCTGGGGCAGAGAGGAGCGCTCTTTCTGTCTGCGAAGCTGCCTTCTCCTAGCCTCGCCCAGGAACATTAGCCTTGGGGGGCCGCTGACCATTGATTTGAACGGAGAGATGGGTTCTGGCTTCTCTATTAGGATTCCAGTATCTAGACTCGGGCCAGGGCAATATCAGAAAGACCCAGGGTTCGGGGTACCCGGGCCAGGGCTGAGGCGCATCGCCGAGAAAAGGCTGGGTGCGGGGCGTGCGGAGGTATGTGCTTGCCTTGCCCTGACCTCTCCAAGGATGGAGAAAAGGCGAGTGAAGTAATGAAGTACGACTCCATCCCTGCCTAGAGAGTGCTACTAGCGCTGGCTGCATTCCAAATCTCTCCAGGGGTCCAAAGTGAGAAGGATTTGTTTTAACTCATCTCTACCCGTCCTATGTCAAGAATGGAGGCTGTAGATGAGGGTGACTGCGAAGTCGCCAGGCACTCGCTGGGTATCGCACCCCCTCCTTGTGCTCTGGGGGTGAGATGGGGCCCCGCCATCGCTAACAGATTAGCGCGAACTATTCGTTTAGTTGCCTTAAAACACCCTCGTTTCACCCTCAGCTATTTTCAAATTCCCGTGTGCCTGGCACTTTCTCCGGTCGAGAGGCACCGGAGGGCTAGGACACGCCACAGTCTGAGCCGCCGCCAAACTGGCTAAGTTTAGGGGCATCTATTATTCATGTTCCTGCCAGATCCTCTCCTGCCCAAAATAGAAACCGAGGTTCTCCGTGACCTACATCTGCTCCGGGAAGGGCTCCCCTGGGCTCGGAGGCTGGGGTGGGGGTGGCTGCGGAGCTGGCCGCCGCACACCCCATCCATCTTCTCCTTTGCTTTCTGGGCCTCCCCATTCGGGTCTTCGCGTGGGTCAGCGCCTAGTCTCGTAGGGCCTTTCTCGTCCCCGCCCGTTGCTGCTTTGTGGAGGCTCGGGAGCCGGGCGGGGAGGGGGGCGGTCCTTTTCAGTAGCCAGGTGTGCGCGATCGGCGGAGACGCCTGTGTTTCCCAGTGCTTGTTGAGGCTGTGGCCCTGCAGGACCACCCTTTACCCGCGAAAAGGGGGGGTGGGCGAGCCGCCTGGCGGGGTAGGAATGGTCGGGTGTGGTTCCCTCCTCCTTACCTCTACTCCCACCTCCAGTCCTGGGAGAAAAGACAATTCTCCGTGCAGGACTTTTATCAACTGTGAAAATCAGCGCGAGCCCCTTTCTTTGGGTCCTCGCAGAGCTGGGGAGGAACTTGTACTGACCACTCCTTCTGTCCCGGGCCACCCCGCAGGCCGGAGGAAGAGGCGTACGACGAGGACGGAAACCCGCTCCAAGACTTCTACGACTTGGAGCCGCCGGGCGCCGGGAGCCCCGCCTCCGCGCTGCGCGACGCCTCCGCATTGTACTACCCCTCCGACAGAAGGTGAGATTCGCGCGGCCTCGCGCACACCCGCGGCTGGGCGCTCGGGACTGCGGTGACTGGAGGGGTGGTGTGGTGACCCACCGAGGATTTTTTTTTTCCCCCCAAGAAAGTCCTCAAGCCTGTCCTCTCCCTGGCCCGATCCTATTGCAGTGACAGAAAATTAGCAGCGGGCGGGTCTATGTGGACCTGAGGGCCGCGTGGGGACCGAGGGGGCTGTGGCCCAAAGAGTGGCAGTGAGTGGCGTCAAGGAACCCACACTCCACAGCTGCCATTCCTAGAGCCAGGACTAACTCTCAATCCTAGCAGTTACTCTCGGGATCGTCCCGGGAGTTGCGAGTTCTGTGCCTCTGGAGGTTTCTCTGTCAGCCTCCCTGACAGTCAAGGGGGCGCGCGCCCAACAAGGGGGTCTCCGGTGGCCACCTGGGGGGCAGAATCAGTGACCCTGGGCGCGCACTTTGCCTCCCCGTTAGAGATGTCGCCCACGGGATCCTTAACAAGGCCTACCGCAAAGTGCTGGACCAGCTGTCCGCCAGGAAGTACCTGCAGTCGCTCGTGGCCAAGGGCGTGGGGTAAGAGTTTGTGGAAGGATTAACTCGCGCATGGTGGCTCGCGCGCGCCGGAGTGGGTGCTTGTGTGGGGCGCGCGGAGGGCGGGCGGCGCGGCTTCCACGGCCGTGCGTGCACGTGGGGCCCAGAGTGAGTCTGCGCCCCAGGGTCTGGGGTGGGTACCCGCCACAGGTCGCAGGCGGAGATTTTTAAGTGGCACCTTAAATTGGCCCAGAGAGCTCTGGAAGAGGGAAAAAGGGAACGCGAGCGAGGGAGTGAAAAGAAAGAGAAACCAAACCAAACCTCTCGGTCATTCAAAACCTTCAAGCTTCCAGGGAGGTTTTGCTATAATTTCCTCTAAGCATGACTTTTTTTGGGGGGGGGGATGGGGAAAGGGGTGGTTGTATTTACTGAAAATTCAAATCGAAATGATAAATAGCCAAATTTGAAGACTTAGGGAACCAAACAGTTTTGCTCACGCCAGAGAAACTGAGAGCATAGGGCTTGCGTGAAGCGTATCTCAGCAGAAGGCAACATTTTAATAAAGCCCGTGGGAAGACAGATTACATTTTCGCCATGAATAATTCATGCAGTGAAAAATATTGCCTACAGCCTGTCGACTTATATTATTACCACGTTTTTCAACTTGGCGTGAGGAGGGAGAGGAGTGTTCACGTTTGACTAGGAATTGTAGGATCGATGCAAACTCCAGGGCAGCAGCCAGCCTGGCATGTTTAGGGCTCTCTGGTTATTTTCTCTGTACGTCGGGGGTGAGAGGAACAGTGAGGACAATTTAGTGCGAACGCACGGATGGTCAGATCTCAAGAGGCAGCGTTGGGAGAAAGGTCGTCTGCCCGGATCTCATCCCGGGCCCCCCCTCTGTGGGGTTTCGTGCCGGGAAGTCCTGGGTGGGGAGGGAGGCATTGAGGGGCTTCCATCTCAGCCCTCCCTACGGCTGCCTCCTGGCAGAGGGAGGCGGTGCGGTGGGCAGTGCGAGCCCCGGGCCCTCCCGGAAGGCTCCCGCGTGGGGTGGGGCCCGCCTGCTCCCCGCAGCGATTGAACCTGTGTCTCCCGCCCCGCCACCCTCTTCCCGACCCCTTTGCTTGCAGTGGGAGCCTAGGCGGCGGCGTGGAGGAGGACGCGGAGCCGCTCTCCAAGCGCCACTCGGATGGAATCTTCACGGACAGCTACAGTCGCTACCGGAAACAAATGGCTGTCAAGAAATACTTGGCGGCCGTCCTAGGGAAAAGGTATAAACAAAGGGTTAAAAACAAAGGACGCCGAATAGCTTATTTGTAGCGATGAGTTACCAGCTACCCTGTGTATACAGCCCTGACGCAATGAAAAGTCGTTTTCCAAACTGACTGAACAGTCATCGCTCGTGTGTTCTATCCAAACATGTATTTATGTAATGAAGTAAAGCCATTAAATGAATATTTTGATAATAATACTGTTTTTCTTTTTACAAAGCACTAGAGAATGCACAGATATACTTTGTGGACCAATTATTGATATATATTATAAATATATAAAAAGAATATATATATATAAGTATAGAGAGAAGTTCATACAAAGCGTGCACAAGGATTGAAAATTCGCCTGAGCTGTTTATGTTTTTATAAAAATAAATAGAAAAGTAGACAATCATTGTTTTGAATATTACTCCTATTTTTGTAAACTGGAATTAAAAGGAGAGTATTTTTATCCATGACAGGCCTGAAGATATTACTACTTACCATTTGCTACTGTACATAAACAATGATGCCCTGCTCCAGAGAGATTTTGAGGTAATGATTTGGAGAATTGCTGAAGGGCATTCTTTCCCAGTGAGTCTCTGGGGCAGGCTGCTTCAATCCCAGCCTAACTCAACTGGGCACTGTCCCCCTGGTTGGGTGACAATTCCAATATTTCTGCTTTCTTTGATTCTCCTTTTATGTGTAGTTGTCTCTCTTCAGACTCTCAGCCCAGAAGAAAATTCTCCCGATAAAACAACAGCTCGATCCAAATTGTGCTTCTCCCCAGAATTCACGCCTCTCCCTGGGGGAAGAGTTGAGGAAGTGCAGAAAAGGCGACTTCGTTAGACCGCTCTTTTTTCTGTACTTCCTGAGTTGCCAGGGAATCTAATATCCCCAAATTAGGGCAATTGGAACAAAGTGAAGGACACAGAAGTATATTGGAAGAGGCAGAGCATGCGGTGGTAGGGGGAGGACCCTGGAAAGGGACTGGTTTGAGGTTGTCCCAGGTCTGGGAAGCTGAGGGCAAGTCCAGTCCCAATGGTCCTGACTTTGAGCGCTGGGTATTGGAAATGGATGCAAAGTACAATGTGTTTTTCTCCAGTGCTGTCCATGCTTCTCATCTTGTGAAATGGCCAGGATCCTCCCCTTTGAAACCTGCTCTGTAGGAGCCACCCTTTTCCTTTGTGGTTTTATGGAGACCTCTCCTTCCTACCCTCCTGCACTGTTTAAGTACTGTTTACCATTTTTCATTCACTTCTCTTAAACTTGTGAATGCTTCTTTTTTTTGTTTGATGCAGGCACTTATTGTAAATTTTAGGAACCCCTGTGTAGCTATTAATAAGTAATTATGCACTAAATATGAACCCTTTGTTTCTTGTTTATTGAGTTTGTAGGTAAAATGTATTTTTCTACATTATTGCTTATTGCTTAGTAAAATTTATTTCATAAAACCAACCTTTGTCATATTAGAATGTGTAGTGTTTACATGTTGCTCAGTTTTGCTAACTGATAAATCATTTAATCCTCTTCTTCATATGTATGAGTACTATCTTATATCTGTGGTCAAGAGTGAGGTAAGCAAGCTCCAAAAGACCCTGAGAACCTACCCTTGTATCCTTTCTTTGGCTAAAGAAAGCATGTCTGTTTCCTGTCAATTCTTTCAACATATAGAGTAATCTTTATAAACAAAAGAACCTTCACCCAGCAACCAGATCGAGCAGCAACAGACAAACCAGCCAGCCACTCTCCCAAATTTCAGGCACAAGTTTATTTTTTATTTTTTGAAAAAAGAAGAAGAAGAAGAAGAAGAAGAAAAAAAAGAACAAGGAAAGATTAAACGTTAGCTTGTAAAGTTTAAAGGACCTTTCCGTTTCCTTTACGGATTTGATCAGTATGAAGTCATAAATCAAAGAAAACAGAATTGGATTTGCATTCCCAGGCGGGATGGATGCTGCCAGGAGATCACATTGCAAATAGTGAAAACAGAGGCATTCGATTTATGCCTGAGTCCTGTGTATAGGATCAATCTTCCTTTAATTCTGCAGTCTCCTCAGGCAATGTGACACGGGATGCAGTTTGCAGCTTTAGTGCCTTTCTTCGCCTTTTAAATTGCCACGAATCACAGATGGCTATTTAGTGGCCCTACAATGCTGCAACACATCAGCTTGCATTTTAGTCTTAATTATTTGTTTCTTGGATAATGGGCAGAGTTTTCTGTATTTGTGTCAGCTGTTAGTGGTGAAATAGGGCTCTAGTTAACCTTTTATTTATGAAGTCTAATTTAGTGTTCCCGTGGCTAGTTGCAAGCATTTTACAGTGATCACCCAGTTTAATCTTTTGTATACTTTTTAGAAATGCCAAGAGCCTTACTAAACTGAAGCAGATTTATGATATAGTGATAATTTAGGTAGATATTAGTCTTGAAGCTCTTATTTTGTGTGCAACTGATTATAAAAACACCTTAACCAAGTATTATTACACACATGATATCTATAACTAGGACTTTGATAACTGTTATATAAAGTGTGTAAAATTTGTATGAATAAATTTTTGTAAACAATGCAACTTGGTCTAATGTTTGGGAAAAAAGACATTCAGGAAATAACTACTTTAAAATCTCTTAAAGTATTATATTTCTTTAGCAACCATAAGATTTTTTTATGTCTGGAATATATATCTATCTAAGCATCCTTGTATTTTCATGAACTGTGCTTTAATACTTGATGGGCTACTGGATTCTGCTAAAAAATTAAAGTAGCTTCTCAGATGGAGATGCCTAAGAAGGTTTTAAGCTCATAGACAGGCACGTTGTTGCAACATTGTAAGACACACAATTGAGATTAATTTCTATCCCCTAGTGTGTATATACATTGCTCAATATTCAGAAAGTTACTAGGTAGTAGTGGGAGACACTACTGGAGTGTAACTAATGGAGCATTAGTTACACATCTGAAATAGTGATCTAACTTTGTTCTTTTATTTTTTGTTTTAGCGGCCAGGTCTCACTATGTTGCCCAGGCTGGTGTTGCTCAAGCAATCCTCTTACCTCAGCCTCCCGAAGTGCTGGGATTACAGGCGTGAGCCACCATGCCCAGCCTAAAATAGGGATCTAACATTGTTCTTATACAAGAAACTGCAGACTAAACTTGTCTTGATAAAATTTTGTATAAAATGATCTAAATAATCAGTTTTGGAGGTTTTAAAATGTGTTGAGACATACAAACAACTGTCTCTGATTAAAATGCTTTAGGTAGAAGGAACATGAACATGAGTAAGTAAAGAGTTAATTAGATGTCTTTAAAAGAAAATGTACTTTGAAGTACAAGACAAAACACAAGAAGTCATTTGTGGATTATATGCTGTCTTAGTTCGTATTTACAAACTTTAGAGCAAAACTTTCATATGAAATTCCCTCAAATTCCCTAGTGGTGTGTGTTTTGGCGCCCTTGACTATTTTTGGCTTAGAAAGTGTATAGAAAGTCACATAATAAGTGACATATCATTTAATTTAAAATGCCAGGGTTTCATCCTAAAAATTAATGGGCTCAATTAGTAAATCAATAAATGTGTCACAATAGAATTAAAGGATGAGTGAAGATTCTAAAATTCAGAATTTAGCTCAGTATTTAAGGCCTAGAATCAAATAGGGAGGAGCCCACAGTCTAGAAATCCCACTTGTTGTCAATGAGAAAATGAATCCAGTACAGTTCATATTTGCATTTGATTTTATTAGATAAGGAATTTTTCTTCTCCATCTTTAACTGCCCTCTTTGTCCTTGAAGACATTAGTGTCTTTAACTGCCATCTTTAACTGCCCCTCTTTGTCCTTGAAGACATTAGTGTGGTAAATGGAAAAATAAAGAAGAATTTATTTGGTTGGGGCTAGGCTAACGACTTGTCAAGAACATAAAGATAAACCCCAGACTTGGCTGACTTCAAGTGAAGTTCATGTATTTAGCAACTTGCTATATTATCTTCTGTGATAACTCAAATTACAGCTTTTTAAAGGAAGACTTGATATGTTTGGGTATTCAAGAAGCTGTAACAGGTGTCTTAATGCTGTTAGGGCTGAGAACACACTTACTCAATACAGTACACACTATTGAACACCTGAAGTGGGCCACCACACTGGTCGAGAGAGCTTGACTAATACCTGGGAGCTCAGGTAGTATTTTTTGCAGAGTGTTTTTCTGAAATGTGATCATCCGGGGGGGCTTAACAATGCAAAATTGTAGGGCTCTGCCAGATCCGGTGATTCTGCATTTTAAATAAAAACCCTAGATTACTGTGCACTAGAATTTGAGACTGCCTAGATTTAGAATTGGTGACATATGTAAACGTACATATGTGCTGGTCTGAATTTTTTTTCATATAAAATAAGCAAAAGGTCATGTTACCTGCACACAGTAATAAGTACATCACTTGCCATATTCTTCCAAGATATCTGGTCATTAAGCTCTTTGACAATTTCCGTATTTCCTTTAGGCCACTATAGCTACTAGTTAGCATTATTTTACTTGTACAGGCTGGTTGGACCTCTCCTACAGGAGCTTGTGGAAGGAGAGTGATCCTTTAAGTTGGGTCCAAAATATTCAATCACAGGACTAAGAGATTATCGCTATAATGAAGAGAACTTGTGCAGCTAGCTGGCCATAATTCTGGGGATCCGGAAGTCAACTTCCAGTTGCATTATATCCCAATTTGGTTTGAATGTATTTACTGCTCCCCAACTGTTCACAAGATGATTTCTCTTGGATGGCTCACTATGACCTTCAACCCAACCCTACTGTTCACATAATCACAAGATTGGAAGCTAAGATCAAGTCATCCCTCTTCTCTTTTGTTGCCATCCTTTTCTGTAGAACGGAGATGGCAGCTGCCGCTGCTGCTGCAGATTGCATCACTGCTGGATTCTCACGTTGGTTTGTAGTTGGTCATCCTGGTCATTTCCCTTGCAACTACATAGTTTTAGCTCCATCTTAGTATCATGTCCCTCTGATCAGATGTTCCAGAGTAGCTTCCATTGTCAAAGGGTTAGAGGGTTTAAGGTAATCAGTAGTCAATTTTACTTCTCTGTTCTTTAACACGATCCTTCCTCTTTTTTTTTTTTTTTGTTTTTGTTTTGAGAAAGGGTCTTACTCTGTTGCCCAGGCTGGAGTGCAGTAGCACGATCTTGGCTCAATGCAACCTCCGCCTCCCCGGTTTAAGGGATTCTTCTGTCTCAGCTTTCCGAGTAGCTGGGATTACAGGCACATGCCAACACTCCCGGCTAATTTTTGTATTTTTAGTAGAGACAGGGTTTCACCGTGTTGGCCAGGCTGGTCTTGAACTCTTGACCTCAGGTGATCCACCCACCTTGACCTCCCATAGTGCTGGGATTACAGGCTTGAGCCACTGTGTGCACCTGGACCTTTTTCTTTCTTTCTTTTTTGTTTTGAGAAGAAGTTTTGCTCTTGTCGCCTAAGCTGGAGTGCAGTGGCTCGGCTCACTGCAGCCTCCACCTTCCAGGTTCAAGTGATTTTCCTGCTTCAGCCTCCTGAGTAGCTGGGACTACAGGTGCGTGCCACCACATCCGCCTAATTTTTTTATTTTTAGTAGAGATGAGGTTTCACCACGTTGGCCAGGCTGGTCTCGAACTCCTGACCTCAGGTGATCCACCCACCTCGGCCTCCTGCTGGGATTACAGGCGTGAGCCAGTGCTCCAGGCCAATCCTCCTCCTTTTAAAAAACAGGTTCTTATCAGTTTTTGAAAGCAAATGCTCCTTATCAGTTACCAGCAATCCCCCCATGACCACAATGTCCTTTCTCTACCCACCCATCCTCAATATTCTGTAAGGTCCAACTCAAGCTCTCCTGTTCTAGGCATCTCCTTTAGCCTCTCAGAGTCACGGTCATCTTCACTCCTCCTCCCTGGGAACCTGCACTGTTTTTCCATGACCATTATACTCTGTATTGCGCCTTCTGTATTCCCTTTCTGACTTTTAATTCCACGCTGCTCTGTCCAGTTCTGTAACTGTTTTGTAAGAGCATGACTTGTCTCCCCACTGGATGACCTCCTAGAGGGTGTGGACAATACATTTGCACTTTAGTGCCAACACACTTCTGGGAACATAAGAAATATCTTTTCTGAGTGATTGGAATAAACAGAGGACCTGTAGAATTCACCATGATATTTCTCCCTTGTAATAGGACAACTGCAAAGCATATACAGGAGTATTTTTTTTTTTTAATGTGGAAGAGCCAAAGATCTGAAAAATTAACTTATCACTTAGATGGGCATCATGAATCAGACTAGATCTACCTCCAAGAAAAGCTACGTAGAAAGAATGCCAAATTAGTGTGTTTCTATTAGTTAAGATAAACTAAAGTCCAAATTCACGTACAGGCAAAAGGCTGTCATAGATTCAAGCCACACAGGTTTTTATTTTTTTCATTCTCATAGAAAAAAGAAGAGTCATATTTTCAAACTAAAACAGAATTCACCTTATGCTTCAAGACAATAATACCTTTTTTCTGGAATACAGGAAAAGGGATACCTTGGGAGGCAGACTGGGAACTGGACTGCTCTCAAAGTGATAATTAACAGAGCGGTTATCTACAGCTGCCGAAGAAATTTCTCTCATCAGCTGAAATGTAATTTGAAACATGAGTTCATGAACAGCCAAAATAATATAATGAAAAAATATTTTTTTTAACAGTTTAGCATTATAGTAGGCGATGTCGTCTGGTCCCAGTTAAATTTTTTCTTAATTATGTCTTTGCTGTATATTATAGAATCCCAAGTCAGAGGGGAATATTGCCTATAAACCACAAAGAAAATAGTATGATGTGTATCTATGGGTATTTCCCTTTCTCTTGTTAACTACCCTGATATTTGCTTGGTTAACTATACCTACCTCATTCAGGATATGGATTTTATGGGGACAATAACTCCCCACTTTAAAATATAACTAATCAGGAAAATTGCATCTCCTGGCCACAGTTTCTGGAGTGGCATGTGATCCATTTCAGAATAGTGGGGTTAGAGAGGAATTTTTTTTTTGATGCTTCTGGAAAAGAAGTCCTTTTCTTCTTTGGAATGGTGTGGTGTGTAATGTAGTGCACCATATAAGAAGCCAGCCTCACAGTGGACCTGTCACCATGGAAGACACAGAGGAGTAACAGGAAAAGGCAGGTTCCTGATGACATCGCTGAGTCCCTGAGTTTCCTGTTAAATAAGTCAATAAGTCCCCTTCATTGCCTAAGTCAGTTTTTTTTTTTTTTTTGGTTTGTTATTTGTAGTATCAATTAGGACCTGTGTTTCAAGTAGTGGACAACCCAACTCAGACTGGCTTAGTATGGTTTTCTCAGAACACAGAAGAGAGTTAAGAGTGGTCTACAGAGGTTCCAGCCGACAGGAAGCTTTACGAGTTCCAGTGCCCCAGTGTTCCAAAGATTTCACATCCTCCGTTAAAATTTTACTCTGAAGTTTCAATATTAAAACATTTCAGAGCACCTAGAAGTGAACCCTAGTCACTGATTTTAACCATAGTAAGAAATATCCTTTGAGGAACTCTCACCAT